GGTCTTGTCATCGGCTTTGACTGAGACGGTTGAGCCTGAGGCTGTAGATTTGCTATGTTTACAGAGTGCTGAGCTTGGCATGCTTGCAGCGAGCGCTTTACCTCACAGTCTGCCAGCTGCCCGGCAAGGGCTCTGTGCTGCTCTTCCAAAAGTTTGTTCCCTTTGTGGATTCTTCGCAGCTCGTCGCAAACAGTTCGCAATGTCTTGCGCATCAGCAGCACTAGATCTTGCAACTCTGGCTTCAGGTCCTTCAAGTCTTTGGCTGATGTTGGCCTGTCTTCAACTCCAAGAAGTTAAGGCAGTGCTTGTGAAATTCCATCATAGAGCTGACAAACCCAATTACCCTTCAGACACAAAACATTAAAGCACGGTAGGTTCAAGACCACATCAAACATCAGTGTCAAAACATGAAGTGCTGTCCTGGCAGCACTAGGCATGACAAAACTATATAGATGTTGAAACTTGAAACTAGATTCTTTCTTTGAAGTCGGTCAAAAATCTGAAATATTGCCAAGAATCTGAGCACCGTCATTGCAGGGTGAGCATCGGCCGACGTAAGGTCCAGGATAGCCGCTTGCCATGTATTTAGTCACTTTTTAGTCACTTGGGTCTACGCTTTGCAGCACCAAAAAACAGAAAAACCGGAAGGTGCTGCTCAGGCGGAGGCTGGCTAGAAAACTAGAGCCCAACGCTGATCAAAAACGAGTGGATGTAGCCAATGGACTTCAGCCCTGTTGCAACAGTGCTCTAATGCAGATCTTCACGATCAGTTGGAATCAATTTGACATAAATTGAGAATTATTAAGATGAGTTTTCTGAAGAATTCCGAGGACTTTGCTCCCATCCAATATGCAGCTCGATCTCGTTCCAGTCGCGACAAGAACCAACCACTTGGAGGTGGCGCCTTCCAGCCTACAGTCGCATACCGGACTTCACAGCTTCCGGCCAGGGTGCTAGTGTGCTAGAGCTTTGGAAGCGGCTAAGCAACCAACTTGGGGCCACCATCACAACAGACTTGTACAGCTCAAATGCCTCCAAAAACTCTTGAAAGAAAGTCGAAAATCTCAAGAATCTTAAGATGAGCTCAAGTTTCGTGAAGGTCTTTGAATTTATCGTTTTCGTTCCGCGTGGAGGATTTCTGCAATTGACCAATTGACCTTGGCAGCCTTGGCAGCACCATCTTGCTCAGGTTCCCAAGCAGTGAGCGCCTGGATTCAACGATTTCAACGCGCTTCACTCAGTTTTGAATGCAACTTGCCTCACTTGGCTCCTCTGGTTATTACATATTAATATAGGCTATAGCCAGGCTATTGTCTTCTGCCTCGATGTCTTTCTTATCTTTCTTGCTAAATAAGATTGATTTGAGCTCTAAGCTATCTATGGTGCAGGACACCCAGGTTTGTACTTTAGGACCTTTACAGAGCAGTTCTGCTCTTGCTGGCCCTTCATCTTGCGTGTTGATGGACCATTATATCATGATCAAGGAGGCTAGATTCTTTTTGAAAATGGACTATCAAATGCCTTGCTCCAGTAGCTGTGATTAATTATGTCCTATGATTGTCACACCATAGAGCCTCCAAAGCACGCAAACCATAGATAGCACTGGAGTTTGCTGCCACAACGCATAACCTTAGTCCAGGACCATCCCTGGAGTAGCTGCAGTGGTAGGAGAGCAACCAGACTCAACGGGTGATATATGTATAATGTGATTGATCATAATACATATATATATGTGTGTGTGTGTCTGTGTACTTCTATCTATCTATCTATCTGTCTGTCTGTCTGTCTGTCTATCTTTCTGTCTATCTATCTATCTATCTTTCTTTCTTTCTTTCTTTCGTTCTTTCTTTCTTTCTTTCTTTCTTTTTTTCTTTCGTTCTTTCTTTCTTTCTGTCTTTCTTTCTTTCTGTTGTTCTTTCTTTCTTTCGTTCTTTCTTTCTTTCGATTTATTCATATATTTGGTTCTTTATTTGTGTTTTACTTATTTATTCACGTATTTATATATTTATTTATCATGTATCTATCTATGTACTGATTTATTTGTTTATTTTTCATTTACATATATGTATATACATAATACAATATGTATGTATCATAAATCATACATACACGTACATGAATATGTATGTGTATATATAGATATATACACACGTATACCGTATATATGTAGAGACTGTATAGATGAGATAGGGAAACTGGTCAAAGGTCTAGTCATTGAACGAAATTGCACGCCAGGTCTCTGCTTGAAAACATCCTAAATGTTACAATTGGTGAGACTTTACTTTTGATAGTCCAGTGGTGGCTGGAGTCCAAATATTCCTGGAGTCCTGGAGTCCTGGTTCTGACTATGCGCCAAGTGCGCTGTATCTATTCTCTTTCCAAGCCACTGAGGCGCTTTCTCAGCTGCCTCTTCACGCTCTTGACCTAGAGCTCGTCCAAGATGTAGCGTCAAAATGGCAGTTCCCGTCCAAAATACATGTTGCACATATACAATACCCCAATGGATGCTGCATCTCGCTGCATATGAGGTTCCTGCTTCGGCTAAGTATGCAGTTTTTTGATTCTGCCAATTGGAATTCGAATTTCAGCCACAACGCACTGAAGTTTCCGAGATCTATGCTGCCTTTTGCCAAAAGCAACTCTTGCTGGGCGACGTGGTCCAATGCCTGACACCAGAAGTCCTGGGCGAAGGAGCTGCAATTGTGGTCTCAACTTGCAATTGCTGGGGGGGTATACGGTATAACTGGTATAACCTTGAAATTGTCAAGTCAATGTCAACGGTCCTAGTCCCTCCTTAATGTATTCCTTGCTCAAGCAAAAGCAGCTTCAGCTAGCACACAATTGCTTTCGTGATGAAACTTGCTGCTCGGTGTTATCCACTTCTGGAAATGGATCCTCTCATTCTACTCGCTGGTTGGGATCCTGGTACTCCTCTGCCAAACACTCTGGTTTGCAGTGCTCCAACCTCAAAGCGCGTCGTTCAATCCATTCCCACTCTAAAAAAACATCTGTCAAGGCTTCGCTGGGCGCGCAGCGCCCAGTTTGTCTGGACATCTTGGGTCCAACCTGGCCTCAAGTGGTCAAAATACAGCGCATCAAAACTGAACTGCCTGAGTCATCTGAGATCATCTGAGATCATCTGAGTCCAGTTCCACTCCAAGATGTAGCAACGATGCCTCACACGGGAACTGCTGTGCAACTTCAAGGTGCATGTTCCAACTTGACTGGACAACCAGAGAAATCCAGAGAATCAGAGTACGTTGCATGAGTTGCATGAGTTGCATGCTGGGTTTCTGACCCTCTTTGTGAGAGAAGCGTGGCCAAAGGTCTCATCTCTTCTTTGCCGCTGCAAACTAAAGAAACCTGACTGCGACATCTGCGACAGAACTGAGACCTTGTGACACCACTAGAGGACGAAAGATACGAAAGAAAACTCAAGAGAGAGGTGAGACTTCAGGCTTTAGATTCACTTTAGATTCACTTTAGATATCTTTAGGCATGGCGCATGGCTCTCGGCTTGCCACGGATGGGATGAGAACCAATGTCCAGCCACTCGCAGGTGAAGGCCTGAATGCAGCTGCGATTGCTGAGTCGAATACCAAGTACCAACTCCTTTGCAGTTTGAAAGTGTTGGAGAGTAGACTGTACAGTAAAGAAATTACATGGTGGAGAACTGCGCAATAAAATCGGTAGCGATTTTTTCCAAATGAAGAGAGAAGCCTAAATCAGGACAATACGAGGAGAATTCGTCGCACAAGGTATCTAAGTCGGCTGTAGCATTTCTCTCCCTGTGAGGCTGCTGCAAGTTTTCTTCCACAGCAGTCAAAGCATCTCGAGCTGTCCCACCGCCAGCCTGCCAAACGCAAACCATGCTTAGAGAATCTTGGAGAACACTTCAAAAAGTATGGAAGCTGAGGACAGAACTGGTTGTTGAGCAATGATGTATTCATAAGGATGCCTCGCAGTGACATGGACAAAGTGATGCGCAAAGTGTTTCAATCCTTGCACTTGTCTGAGCGTTGGTCATTCCATTCTGGATGTGGGATATGTAGAAACGCATTTGTTCTATCTTGTTCTATGAAATCCAACAAACATGAACCTCTGAATCGGCAATACATTGTGCGACAGCTAAGCTGATACAGCGTACTGCAAGATGGACAACACTGCCAGGAATTGGACATTTCGCCGTCGCCTGTTGCCAGCTGATGTTCTCCAAGTAAAGCTTTTATACCTAATGCATCAAACAAGAGCCGCAACTCTTTTTCCGGGAGGTCATTACGGAGCAGTGGCCAGAATGCCTGATGCAATGGCATGCCGTTTCTCTCTGACCTTTTCTGCAAGGGTTGCCTGAAGGTCGCATCTGTCGTCACCTCGCTCGCTGCGATGTCCAGCAGGTAGCGTTTTTGCACCTTACAGCTTTGAGCTAAGATGTTCAGGTAGCGCTCTTGATGCTGTTATGCCGAGCAAACCCTTAACTGCCTTAACTTGACTGGAAAATCGATTGGCTATTCCCTGTATTGGTGGAAGAAAAGTTCCCGACGAGATTGCTTGCTATTCTGAGGGCACCTGGAGCGAACTGCAAGCGGCGCAAAGTCTTCAATATCTTGGACAGGACAATTCTTAAGCGGGCCTTTGTTGCTCACTCTAGTGCACGATGAGAGGAGCCTACGGAAACAGTAGATATACGCTGAGAACAAAACACAATACCAATGAAGGGGTATATAAGTTTAGAATAAAAAAGACTGCAAACGCCGAAAGCAGATAGCACCGGATAGCCGGATAGCACGAACCACGACTTGAATCCACCTGGCAGCTGATCTGCGTCTCCCATGCACCTTGGACTGAACTCGGCTGAAGGAGAACTTCGACCTGACGACCTCACTTGTAAAGCCTCCGTGCCTCCCGCCTGGGTAGGAAAAGAAGCGCCACGAAGGCGCATAAGCCAGAAATATTGCTATCTGTTCGCTGAGCTCTGTGAAATTCCAGGTGTAGTTTCATCAGGGCTTCGCAACGAAAATGTTGAATGCTGAAGTCCTGTGGTATTGGCTTGGTTCAAGTTCTGCCCGTTCTCTTCAAAGCACACTCGCGGTTGAGCCAACAAAATCGAACAAAAACTTGTTCACGATTGGTTGCACTTGGGGTCCAGAAGGGAAACTGGTTTGGTAGCAAAGAATGATGCCTTTTGCCGTAGCAAGTATGTACACTGACATGGTATATATCGGCCTAAAGCCGGTGGCAAGTGCATCTCATTGGGCCAATTTGCCACAAGAGCGCACAACGCCATGGAAGTTAATGAGTTTTTGAACTCCAAATCGAAAGTGAAACCGATGGCAAAAAGAGTCCTTCCAGACAGAGGCTCACTTCCAAACAATGTGTGTGTGTGTGCGCGCTTGGCTTGAATCCTCTTTGAATTCTGGCATATCCGACAGAAGAGCTCAAACTGGAAGTTTCAACGGTTGAAAAACTTACATGTATAAGTACGGTTCTGGAGCTTGACATGGCACGCTCTCAGTATCTCTCAGTATCTCTCAGTCTTGTTTAGTTGGGGATGAAGACCCCGAAGGGCGCCCCTCGGAGAGCACGACTCGGAGAGCACGAATGTGACTGCATTCCGATCATTTCCTCAGCGCTTTCCTCATTGAGCTCCCAGCTGGAGTGAAAAGCACACCAATAAATTGCCAAAGAAGTGTGACGTTAAATGCCAGGTTGACCTTACTGACATTTGGCATGACATACACTTGCCAAGCTGACTTCAATATGCTCTTGCACAACAATCGAATCACAACAGCACTGGACATAAGCATTCAACCCACATGGTGGTCTGGCCCGCACATTTGTTTCCAAACGGAGCCTCCTGGCGACCATGCAGGCTATGAACAGAATTGGACTGTCCAAGAGTAGTGAAAATTGATGAAAGCTAAGCACTTATTTACAGCATTAAGCAGCTCCAACTGACAGAAATGCTTTCATCTTTCATCGCTCTACTTTCCGCTCCCACATCATCTTCATGGCCATCACCCCGAATGCCACGCTCGTCAGGAATTGCAGAATTTGGAGTCGTGTGACCCAACTTTTCCATGGCCTGGAAGATTGTTGTGTGACCCGGCCCAGAACAGACAAAATGAACAAAATGCCAATGTCTTTCTATTAGCGCAGGTGATCTACTGCAAGCACGGCTTCAAGCATGGCTTTATTACATTTCATTGAGATGTCCATGAAATCAGAGCATACTAGGACTTCTAAGCTCCAGTCGTAGGTATTTTCAACACCTGCCGGAGCTGCAGGTCAAAGTGTTACAGTAAACAGAACCTCACAGTATCCGTTCCAGTCAAAACCGCCAGAGGCATGAGGACTATCATCCGCTTGTGGCCGAAGAAAAAACGCTACGGTGTCTTTTTTAACATGCGCACCTTGAAGCCATAGTAGGCATACATCACGACATGGACAAAGGTGTTCCACAGCAGTCCTCGACATTCGGATACATAGTGGGTCCATTCAGGATGGTCCAGGATGGTCCAGGATGGTCCATGCCTGGCCTATGTGCTGAAGATTCATCCGGTATTCTAACCAATTCCACACCATCACCTGCAAATTCCGCTCAAGAGCTCATCATGGTGCTTGAAGGGAAGACGGAGACTTCAAAAAAATGGAAGGTGCAGAAATGGTGTTTGCATGTACACATTTGGAAAACTCTGTGTCTATATATTCCACGATATCATTGCCTGCCATGTCATTTCATACCATATCATGTCATGTCATTTCATATCATATCATTTCAGATCATATAATATCATCATGATCATCATGACATTATTCTATCAACTAATAGTATCCTATAATATCCTATAGTATCCTTCATACTACAACTCTATATATATATATATACACCAGCGACTGTTGGGTGCAAACGATGCAACTTGATGTTTCTGATGCCAGAGTTCCACCCTTGAGACTGCCGGGGCACAGGAACCAGTGCATGATGATACACGTGAAGACCAAAATGTGGTGGCCTTGTGGAGCGTGGGTTCCACAGGTCGATTTCCCGGGTCGCTCCAAAGCAGTCGGTCCAAAGGGGTGCACATCAATATGCAATAAGTACAACTTCCAAAGCCCCAAAGCCAACGACTGCACAGAATATTTCAGAACCACTGGTGTCCACTGTGTCCATGTCTGATCCAAACATATCCAAACATATCCAAATCCAAACCAACAAGAGCTGCCTGGATGATCTCAGAATTGCAAGAAGAGTGTCAATCAGCTCATAATATTTGCTGACCTTGGGTGCTTGGTCCATTCTGATCCCTCGCTATACTGCTTGCAACCACCCAAAGTACTACGACTGAAGCTGTCTGGGACGCAGGCATAGAATGCATACGACCAAAAATAAAGGGGGCCTTTGAACAGGAAAGCTTTCAAAAATCGGTCCTATCTGAATATCATACTACAAATCTCTACCTGATGATGTCTACTAGCACACAAAATGTAGTCATATGTAGGCGTTTGACCCCGCGCTGGCGTTGCCGGGTCTTCGCAGAACCTCAGTCTGCGCAGACTGTCCTTTGAAGCTAACACAATGGATCAAAGCAGCATTCTCAAGTAACAGTCCAAGGGTCCCAGGATCACTTAGGCCGACATTTTGAATCACTTAGGCCGACAATCTTGGATGTGGATTCACACCTTTAGGGATCTTTAGGGTTTATCTTTAGGGGGGGACTGGGGATAGTGGGGACAACTAGAGGTACAGGAGACGAACTAAGGCATATTAAGATCCATTGGGTACACACCTTTAGGGTTTATCTTTGGGGGTGGGGACCTGGGACTGGGGACCACTGCACACCTTCTATTGCACATATCATCATGTATCTGTGACGTAGGCGAGTGAAAACGTAGGCCTAAGCGGGGTACTGACCAAGCATAGCTAAGCACAGCGCATCCAATCAGCATTTTCATGTCGGACTCTCTCAAACATCTCCCAAGCACACCCCACGCACATCACCAAGGACATTGCACCTGAAGCATGGGAGTTGAAACCTGCTTTCAAAAATGTTTCAAACCTTTGGATAGTGAACAAAGATGAACAAAGTGGGCAAACGGGCAAACTGGAGTTGAACAAGATACCATTGCTGTGCTGAGATTCATCAAGTTCTGGGGCGTGTGCTCAGAATAAAGTTGTGCACCACCAACAGTCTCTCAAGCTTATATCCACCCGTTGGAACCTAACAAAAGTGACTCAAACTCGATCATTCAACAGTGGCTATCGACATTTGCATGGCTCTCTGTTTCCAAGTGGCATTCTCTTAAAAGAAAAAAACAGCTTGTGGAAAAAGAATTTGAGAGATGCTTCGCCACAGTTGTCACTGAGTCTCTCGCATATCGGGGCAAAATAAATACCATCAGCAAATAGAGAACACCTGGTGTGACAACATTTGCAACACCATGCCCATGCAACAAACATCAACAACCCCATCCTGGCGAAGACGATCGAAGACGTGTCAAAATTCAATCGACAAGTCGGCAAGTCGGGCAGTGCCTGTCACAACCGGAGAGCTCCTTGAGGAGAGCGGTGCATTTTTCCAATCAAAGTCATAGTACATGTGCCACGATGACTACCTCTCGGGATCAGGGATTTTATGGCAATCAAAAGTACGGCATAGATATGGATACCAAATGGATCCAAATGGCAGAAAGATCAGAAAGATGCAATGCGGCAACTAAAGTATATACAGATATATATATATATGTATGTATATATGATTGCCAACTATTGTTTGAAAGGAGGACCTCGCAACACAGAAAGAATGAAAATCGGCCTCTATGCTGCAACGATTGCAGTGAGCAATCATCAGGGAAAATCCGAGGTGAGCGGATTGGCTGAGGATGATGGAAAAATGAGATTGCCACACACTTCACGGACTTCATGGATCGCTGCGACGTGCAACAACCCAACCCTTGTCAGACTGGACCAACATATATGGACCATGCACAATTCACATTTTCCAATCAAAGGCAAACCGGCAAATCCATTCGACACGCGATGCTTCCGGCTGACCCGTTACCGCCGTTGCTGGTCTTTGCCAGCTTCACCGCTTCACCCAGAAAGGACCGTCGGCAAAGAAGCGACGAGATCCTGACCAGATTGACACTGGGATGAAATGCCAATGAAATGCCAATGAAATGCCAATGAAATGCTACTAAATGATTATATAAACGGATTCAAAAGGATCTCTTGACTCTTCTATCCAACTCTGGTTCCCCTGTTGCATCCTGTCCTCCATTTTGGATATGCTCTGGTTGAAGCGCTCCCTGGACAAAGGATCGAGGCCCACAGCCAAGCTTGCTATGGCTGATTCTGGAGGAAGAGCCAGCATCTTGAGCATCTCCTTCGAAAGGCATCACTGGATCATTTCAGAGAAGAAAAGCAAACAAGATCAAACAAGATCAAACAAGACTACCAAATGGATGATCTTAGTTTCACACAGCTTCACCTCGTTGGAGCTCCTCCATTGACTCCGAGTTCTCCGGTGCAGGACTGCTTCTTCGAAGCTGAACAACTGTTGCTGGCAGAGGAACCTGCACTGGGAGGATTTGACTTGCTCAAACGCTGTGCCTTCGAGTGCCTTCGAGTGCATTCGAGTGCCTTCATGGGTTTATGTTTTCAGAGAAGCATCTCCGGTGATTGCACCTCCCACGCTGGCCCCGGTTTCTCAACTGCCCTTGGACAGGGACAGGGTACCAGAAGATCCAGAAGGAAAAGTAGTTTGATGTGGAGCCAAAGCAATTGAGCCATGCGCCCTTTTGCTTTACTGCTGTCCTTGACTGGGCCTAGGCAATGCATGAGTCCAGCGTGCAAAACTCAAAACATCCATCGCTGCATCTGAGCTAGCCGCGTGCTACCTAGGTTCAAGGCTTGCCACAAAACAGCATGTCAAAATGCGGATCAATATCTTCCTTTATCGGTCTCCATCATCTTCTCTGCGCTAAATCAACTTCGTCAGGTCATGTCAGTTCAGGTCTGGGTTGAGGCTCTGGCATCAGCGCCATCTGCTTGCTCAGCTGGAGGGTCCGGCAAATCGCGACCATCGCAATTGTCACATCTATCAGAAAATCTTCTACCAGGCTCTGCTGCAGGCTGTCCAGTCGGTTCATATGTTTCGCCTTCAGCCCTTCCGTTGGCACTTCCTCGTGAGACATCGTGCACTTCGCACGCTTCATGCACTTCGTGCATTGTCTTCGGCTCTGGAGCCTTCACAGTGTCGTCCTCCAAGCCTCTGTCATCTCCGTTTTGTATAGGGTCATCTTTAATATCTCTGTCGACTCGGTTGGGATTTTGTGGGCCAGCAGCGACAGCGCTTTCTGTCACAATTGGTGCATTGCCTCCTGGCTCCCTCCTTGCACCTGGTCACTGGTGAACACTACAAGGCATCCGCACATGGATTGTGCACTGCGCTGTACATCTGCACCCTTGGCGCACCTTCTTTTGCCAGGGAATGGGCGGGGCGAGATAGCTTTATGACGATAGTGGACCTTAGGCTTCTGCAGATCTTCGCGAAAGCTGGAAGTAGCTACTGCTTGTCACCATGTTTGTCACAACCTTGTCACAACAATTCACAACATATGTCATTGCCATCCCTGATTCAATTGAGTTTCTCTTTGATGCCAATCTCCCGGAAGCGGTGGACATTAGCTTCTCCATTGACTGATATCACCTGTCAGTTTTAGCACTGGACTCTGTGGACTTTGACTCTCTGGGTTTGGCTCAGGAAGTCCACACCTCATCCCCCTTCATGATGCGTTGCGACTCCGGTGCTGCCTTCTGCGCTTGACAACAGAGAACCCAAGCCTTTCTTTCTGTCAGACTGAAATTCAAGTCAGCTAAGCAAACTCCAGAATGACTCAGAATGACTCAGAATGACTCAGAATGACCAAGGAAGCTGAGATGAAGTCCTTATTGTGTTTGTCCGCCAAGCCACCAGGGACCACCTGGGCAGGTTTTCTTACTGTCGGATTCAAGCCGCTGTCGTCAGCAGTACCATCACAGGCCTCTGTGACAACACTTCTTGTTGGATCTCGTGCTGGCCTCTGGCAAAAAAAACAAGAAAACCACTGAACAATCGTGGCATCCAGAAGCATCCTGCGGAATGTTTTGGTGAATAAGAGCAGGGCGCTTGCATGCGGATACCAACGTGGTCTGAATCTACCATTCGGCAAAACGTGACCTGCCAAGGTCAAATGTCAGAGACGGCCAGTGTTTCGAAAGTTTCAAGGCAAAGGAGCTCTCCTCAAAGCTTCTCTTGGCATCCGTTTGCACCTGGTCAAAGCGTCTGGTCTTCCGGTCTTCACAGGTTCTTGGTAGGTTCGTAGGATGTGTACCTTATGATTGAGGGACTTGAACTTCTTGAACTTCTTTAACTTCTTGAACCGGTCCAACCGGTCCAACCACCACAAGCCGTTCCAGGCCTCCGGGAGGGGAGCAGGGCCCTTGTGCCAGCGGAGCAGAGTAAGCCTTGAGCACCAAAGAATCCAAAGATCAGCGATGATCAAATTGTACAAAGATCATCAAATTACCACAAGATGCTGCAAGATTTTACAAACACATTGCGAGGTATAGTCTTGAAATGTCTTGAAAATATCAAGCGAGATTATCTGTGTTATATAAATCCGCCCGCGCCGAAGGTGCTGAGGCATGGTAGTTTAGCAGTGGATGCAACCGGACAGATCTGTCAGACTGGTACAGCTTCAGCCCGGGGCAGACCGTTTTGCATATCGGCACAACATCGTCTGAATGCACCCTTGTCATCCGACACGGCCGCAAAATCGGCTCCACTCGGGGTCAACTTCGGCAAACAACGCTCCAACTTCGGCCCAACTTGGACCCCCTTGGCTCCAACTTCGGCCCATCTTGGCTCCAAGATGGCGCAACTTGGCCCCAAGTTGGACCCATTTGGGAGCAATTTTAGCCCAAGTTGAAGTCCACATGGCTTCAAAATGGGGGACATAACCGGCCCAATCCGAAATCCTCAAAACGCACGTTTTCACTGGTATATTTCACCCACGTTTTTTTGGGTTTGACCACAGTCGGCTTTTAGTTGGGCCAAGTAGGCCCGCTTCTTTCCTCCGCGACTCGAATATATGTTGCTTCCTTGAAATCCTGAGTTCAACGCCGCACTCGGTGTACATCTTGGAGGCGTTTCAGAATGCGCAGGGGCTCCACCTTGTAATGATGGAATATGATGGAATGTTATATGACAGATTCTCAAAAGTGTGCGTACGGAAGACCTGCGAGGCACCAACCTCCGGTTCACACGCAAGCAAAAGGTCACCTGGTTGCACACGCCACCTTGCAAAGTGGAGACGAACTAGATTCAAGACTCACTTGAAATGCGATTTGGGTTCCAATTCGACTGAGACCACTGGCAGGGTCTCCTGATTTTCGTTCCATCTTTGAATTGCTCCCGGACCCTTGGAGGTCGAAACCACTCAAAAAATGATGCCTTGAACTTGGTTGGAGGGACGGAGGGACTGCATTCAATGTGGATCATCTCTTCTAAGCAGGAGACAACCGCTCGAACGTTCAGCACTGATGGGCTACTGTGCCTGATCACGCTTAAAGAACATTGGCTTTGCATAGAGCACTTTGAGCAATTACCGCCGTGATTCTCCACAAAATCACACCCTGTCCGCACACTCTGACAGCATGAAAAGTCACCCAGAAAGTTTCTGAGCCACAGACCCTGGTGTCGAAAATAACTCCAGCCCCCAACCTGCTTCAAATGTGTCGCACTTATCTCCGTTTCTCAAAAGCAATCAACCCTGTCTTTGTCGAGCCGTCTTGCTGACAAAGCCAGCACAAAGCAAACGGAACCAGTGGCAGTCAGAGGCGATCAGAAAACATCGATGAATAACTTTGCTGAGGGCACCTTCATTTGCGCTCTTAGCAACTTCAATCTCCCAAACCTGAGAGAAGCTTTATTGCGCTGCTAGACCTATCAGCATCTTCGCATAATTATCAATCAGCGCCCTGCATGGGAGTGATTTGGACTTGTGGCCAGCCAGAACATATTAAGGTGCTTGTATAGCATGGAGTGCACACTTGCTACTCTGCAGAAATCGCTTGCCAGGATACTCCAGGAGCTGCTTTTGAAGCTGGTCTCTCAAGATGCAATACCTTGTCACACTTTCAATACCAAAGTTCAAACATGTTCAAAACAAATACGCACAGTAGGTACAGCAGGAACAGCAGGAACATCGTTGAAGAATTGGCACCCCCACCACTTCCGCAGTGACTGTAGAGAGGTGTTGCACCTGATTTACAATTCATTTCAACCTCCTCTCATGGCATACCAACTGTCTTCAGTGCGAGTAGGTCGTCTTCCTTGATCATCCTCATTCTTGGCACCGCACAATAAGCCGTGGAACCTTCTTGTCATCTGCCCCCACAAGCCAGTCGTTCTGCTCAACACGAGGTTCAGAAGGACTGCCAGCCAAGCACTGGAATACAAGCTGAGTACAGAAGAATCGATTGGGTTCGCTTCAAAGGCATCCAACATATCAAACCAGCCTTATTAGATTGCTGTTGTACAGGGCTATTGCACCATCCTTCACAACCTGGAGAGTTGTTCAAATGCACCAAGCGCACAAGTGGCCCACAAGAGCAGACATGTGCAACTCTTTGGAGCACTTTGTGTTTTTCTACTTTGACTTGGCAGCTTCACATGCTTCACATGGAAAATCTATGAAAATGTACTGTTACGCTGTATGCAACCCTTTTTGGCTTTCTTCCATTTTGAACTGTTGATTCAGCACACCTCCAGAACCTGCAGCTCTTCACCTCAGCCAGCAGTGCTTTGCCGGTGCTTCGCCGTTTTAAAAGATGAGGGCACCACCGGCTTGCTGTACTTTGATGCCCAGTGGCCTCCCAGACACGACACCGTGACACCAGGTTCTCATCATTTTCATATGCGGCTTGCATGATAAAGGAAAGCCCGAGACCTTGCATCAGTCTTGCAAATCTTCACATCAAACCTCGCTACACAAGCAAGTCACTATGATCACCCCAACAGGAAGAGTGTGAACCTGGAAGAAACAGGAAGCGTTTCAAGACATGTCGTTGGCCCGTTGTGTTTATTCTGGGTGGAGCAACTGACAGCGCAGTGCTCGCAGACGAGTCCGGAGTTGCTCCTCTCAGTCTCTCGGCCAACACGTGCAGCAACATATGAGGATGGGCCCAGGATGGATCAAAATGTGAGGCGAAGCCCACGAATTGTGGTCATCTTGATCAGTAAATTATCCCATGTTTCGCTACCCAGTTTTGACACTGAGATGAAACAGCTTGGAACAGGTGGACCTGTTGTGGTGCTTCAAATCCGCCCACACCGCTTTGGCGGTGAAGGCGTGCTTATTGGGGGGCAACAGCAACACTAAATGCTCAATGACATTTGTTAATATAGCAGTCGCTATATCAGCTTTAGCTGGGGGGGGGGGCCCAAAAACGGTTTCGCACCGAGACCAGACCCCAAAAACGGTTTCGCACCGAGACCAGAATACGGTGGTGTTTTCGACATTTTTCGAGGATTTTTGGGTGTCTGAGCGCAAGAGGGTATTGAAATGGAATTTTGGGTCATTTTGGTAGCTTTCCGGCAATGGAAAAACGGCCAAAAATGAAAAAAAAATGTACATAGCAAGATTTTGCAGGGTTTTTGGATGCCAGAGCATTGAAAACACTGCAAAAACAAGTGTTTTGGACTGACGTTATAGCAAAAAACGTGTAAATTACCGTATGCTTGACTGGAAACATTACAAAAACACTGTCAAAAGCAATGGTTTGGAAGGATTTACTGCCTTTATGGCAAAAAACGTGTAAATTACCGTCTGTTTGACTGGAAACATTGGAAAAACACTGTCAAAAACAATGTTTTGGAAGGATTTCTTATTGAAATTTCTTAGCTTGAAGAGCCCCCACGGGGGAAAACCACCCTTAGCCCCTCTCACGGACCGAAATAAACCTGCGGTGTGGGCGGCCACCCCACGCGAAGCGGGGTGAATATCGTTGCTTGCGTTGTAGATGTGACCATCACAATGACAGTGAGCAGCATTGTCGCTTGATGTGCACTGAACTGAAGCATTTTGCACGGTCCTCAAATGGTCTGGGAAGCAAGAATCGAGGCACCTGCACTCACAAGAAGGAGCTTGGGCTGCTGTTTCCCGCTTTTTCAGTGTCCATCTCAAGTTTTCAGGGTCTGCTGGCACATCGAAGGCTCCTTGCAAATCCACACTTTTTGATCTACAGTATGTTGATTTCATCTTGTACTTCATTGAATTTGTGCCTTACTTTTCTCCTTCCTGAGAGCCGAACCCAGGAGCCGAATGCGCGTACTGCCCATGGTTGAAGCTCTTCCTGCTAAAGGGTGGCACATGTTTCTCCATATTTGGTGTTGAATCGGCATGTGATTGGCCGTGTTTGCACTCTTTGAGGTGCGACACAAGCGCTGTTGCACTGTAGTTCTGAAACAGGTTGCGCCTGGTCAAGTTTAATGTCAAGAGGCCGCACATCGCTATTCACAGAGCGACCAGGAGTTTCAGATGTTGCAGGCGTAGTATCTTGGGGGGCCTTGGTACGCTGCAGCTACTTCGAATTTTCGAATTGGGTCCGGTCCGGCAGCAGCAAGTAATACCAGTAAGTGTCCCACATGAAGGCTTGCTGAAAGTCTTCGGAACCTCAAACTAAGTTGGCGTAGTAAGGCTCCTGTTCTCTTCATCGGCATGCCGAATTGCTTCACTTGAATCTTTAGAGCCCCACGAAATACAAACCTGCTGCTTGGAGAGCTCACGTGCAAACCTCAAAACTGTCTTTCAATCAGCAGAACTTGAAGTTCACAAATTCATTCAATTTTGCTCAAGCTGCCTGCGCTTGGGTTGAGACTCTTCCTTGCGACGACGGCCATTTACAGCTGTCACAACACTCCCCGGAATGAGCTGCTCGTTCAGCCCTCTCCTGAGCTTCAGGGTCAAAAGATGTCAAGAGCGCTGGGTGCCTCAATCTGAGCCATCGGGGATCAGGCAGAGAGTTCCAGCGGTCGACCAAATGGTCTTTTACCACCTGCTTGCACTGCTTGCACTGCTTGCACTGCTTGCACTGCTTGCACTGCTTGCACTGCTTGCAGTTTTCCAATCTTTCCATATTATGCATCCAACATGCATCTCAAGCTGCAAGATTGGCACATGCGTAAATCACTTGTGCCACGTCGTTGAGAATTGGTTAAAACAGTTCAACACATCGCAACAGATCAACTTCGCTACCTCCTTGACGACAATAGAGCTCAAGGTGCCAGGTTCTGCCAACATTCCACACCTTTGGAATAGTGATGAGGATCAAGAAACACCATTGACAGTGGAAGCAAGTTGTGGCACTGTTGCAAAGTCAAATCACTTGGGTACAGACCCGGGAGGAGAATCTATACATCGCCTCATAAAGGCAACGATCTTTTTGGTGGAATTTCGTGCTGAATGCGCAGAAGAAATCGACAGGCCCAGGCCAACCAAGAAAACTGAGTCTCAAAGCCCGATCCGAATCCCAAGCTTCTGTCCCTCGTTCTTGCAGATAGGTCCGCACAGAACCTATACATAAGATATTGTCAACTTGATAGTAAGCGTGTGATTCAAGACTGGATCAATGTGAATACATGTGATTCATTTTCAGAACTGCTCCTGGATGCTTGTCACAATATTGTGCGCCTCTTCTGAAGATGGTGCCACAGATGAAGGCATCAGGACACCTCTGATGACCAGCACACCTGTGGACACTGAAAGGCTGCAACAATTGGTTGATCTGTGAATCTGCAGTGCAAGCGTAGCTTCACACGGAAAAATTTGGCTATGTGCCAAGTCTGAGCTCAAGTCACACCGACTCTCTGGGCTCGGTCAAGGCAGCGAGCATATCTTTTGAGCCTTGTGTGATGAATCTGCGTGCAAAATGCCACAGAGCCACACACGAACACTTAGAGGAACCAGATGTATAGAATAGAAAATGCATCATCCATCTGCAAGGTCTTGGAATAAGATTCTTGCCAACACTTTTGTCCACTGCCACAACGCGATCTCCCACGCGGATTGCAGTTTCTGGATTGGCCTCACAGATCTCGAGGCTGTGAAACCGCAAGGCTAACCCCGTGGCCCCGAGATCAACAGCACTCCTTGCTGTCCTTGCCTCATTCCACTGGGCGATACCACCTTCCTCGATGCCGAAAACCTCCAAGCTGTCGCTGCCATCGCAGGTTCGAAGCTTGAAGCCCCATCTGCAAGATCAGTGCAGCGTGTAGATAGTGTAGATAAAAACATGAAACAGCCAATGTAACAGCCAAACAACTTTGCAAATCTCAACCTTTTTGCAAAGCCTTGACAGGATACAATCTCTTTGTTGGGCTCTGCTACCTGGCCTCTCGGACGTCTGCCGGGACACCCGTCTCTCGCAGATCCACGGCCAAATGGAGACCTTGGCAAAAGGCAATCACGGCTAGCAATGTTCAAGGCATCTGTACATCTATGTATATATAATATATAAATACTAGTATCAGTATATATCGTATATATCCAATTCCATTTTGACTATGCGGTATGTGATACGTTTCACAACAGCTCGTGTGCTTAGAGCCTGACATTAGCTGAGAGGGATCTTCGAACAAGAAGACTTGAAGACTCCTTCTTATCATTTGTAACATGTGCCATGGTCAAAGGTCCGGGTTTGGTAATGGTCATTCCATTTCATTTCACTTTCAAAATCTTTCAATATCTTTCAATATCATATCATGATCCCATCATGTTCTTTTCCAGGAAGACATTGTGATGGGATCATCGCCCTGTTGGGAAGCGGGTTGCAGAATGGCAAACATCGCAAACATCGCAGCTTCGCAACATCGCAGTCCGAAGACTTGAGAGAAGACATCAAGTCGCTGGCTTGACCCTTGATGTCGTTCACCTGGCGCAAGGTCGGCCTTTTAGCATCTTTTAACATGTTTAACCTGTTTGGTTCAAGACTTGGACTGAGGGCTTGGCAGACTCAATGATGTCGCCTTCCCAAAGCACTGGCCTTAACGTCTGAAAAAGTTTAAAAAGTGGCTTCATAATTTTCATAGCATTCCATCGCAAATCACGGCAACCAGCGTCTGACATGGTCTTAAATTATCCTGAGTGCTTGCTCGGCTATGCGGTTATGCACCGGACGCATTCCACCAAAGCATCCCTGGTGGCTGGGTGCTGCCAACATTGTACACAGGCTGACTTTGCACCTGAGGCAGGAAAATGAAGTACACCAAAGCGCACATTGGAAATCTCAGTGAACCGGCCTCGTGATTGTGTCGAGATAAAGCACCATCACTGCAAACACCACAAACATGTAACCTGCAGAACTTTTGCTGAACTTCAAGCCAGGCTCCGCGCCAAAACCAAGAAAGATATGACTCGGGACATTTCAGGAAATCACTCGGAAATCTCAGGACAATACATTTTTCCGCTTCTGTCAGATTGCAACTGTGCTCCGAAGGATTCACCTTCCTCCTGGCCGCGTGCTCACAGGTGAAACAGAACTTGATCTAATCAAAATCTAATCTCTCAAATCAAAATGAAAGTCTCGGCCGTCCTTTGTGAGCTGAATCTGCACTCTTAATTCGACTTTATCCAAGCTTGTAGTGACCTACCGTGCTTACGTGCAGAGAAACAAGTTGTGCTTGAATTTCTTTCAAAGATTCACTTTGCACACCTTCCCCAAGAAACTTCTGGGATCAAGTTCTTCAGCACCAAACACCTTAGCAGACTTCCATCAAGGTCTGAAAGTCCAAGAAAGTCCAAGAAAGCATGTTTTCTGAGGCATAGCTGGCATAGCTGAGCCAAAAGCCATCCGGGCAAGGAGGCGCAGGACAATCATGACCAGCAGACTTACCTGAGACAAAAGGCTCCACCACTAGTTCAGCCTTTTTTTGGGGGTCTCAACGAGTAAGGCCCTAAGGCGCGGACGGACGCCGAGGCCAGAAACAGGGTTGTCGTGTTCACAAATTTCCTGCTTAGTTGGCTGTGCAAGATTAGTAAACAGACTCTTCAACTGCGTCTTGCTATGTCCTGCCTGTGTTTGTCATACGCAGATTTTGCATCAGAGTCAGACAGAACGCTGTGAGCAGCATTGAGTCTTGCTCTGTTTCGCTGGTCAGCCTGACCACAAACTCGTTTTAGGGGCTCAGCTGTGTGCCAAAGCCTTGCCATCCAAAGCCTGGTGCTTGGAATTGAGTTTCGTCAAGGCCTAAGAGCGGCACACATTTCACCATTTTATAAATCCTATCCTCAGCCTTGGTGGTAACATGAGGCGGAATCAGGTCCTGGCCCTTTTAAATCCGGTGGCAATTTCGGCTTGCGTCGCATGCGCAGAGATTCCAAGAGTCGAATAGTGATCCTCTCTGAGGGCAAAGTGCCGAAGACTGTCAAACGAAAAAACACAGACATCATATCAAGTAATATCAAGTCTAGATTCAACATGATTCAACATGATTCAGACAGTCTGAGTCATAGAAAACTCATCAAAGCAAGCCGGCCGGAAATCCTCAAAGATTTTTCTCTGGATGGTGTCTGCGACGTCCTTGAACCATGCCATGTATACAGGAGACCATGCAACTTGAGGCGAAGGGAACTTGGGCACCAGCTTTCAATTCAGTAACTTCATGTAGGATTGCCGTAAGCACAACCTGCACAAAAGGAGGTCTGGTGTCACAAAACCCCTTTTCGCACCATGCGACAATTGGTGAAATCTGAGTCTGGGGCACAAAGTCCAAATCCAACCAAGGCCTCTAGTACAGCAAATACAGCAGATACCAAAAACATGAAGCTGAACATCCACCCAAGTGGTCTCTGTCTGACTCTGTCTAAACTCCCAGCCTGCCGTTCAATGCGCAATAAGAACATCACCATGTCTTCACCATTCGTGCACAAATGATGCCTCTTGACTCCTAGTGTCCTTTCATTCTTCAGTTGCCGTAGAGATCGCTACATGTTCAGAAAAGGAAGGGACCTCCTTGAGACCCGAGCGCGGTGTATTCTGGAGCAACTTTGATTTTTGATAAATGTACTCAGACTTGGCTTGAGCTTGAGCATATCAGGGGTCAGCCAAAATATTATTCCAGAGCCTGGTCAACAAACTTTGCTGAGGACAATTTCTGGCTTGTACAGGCAGGCAGTGATTCAGCTTGGAGCTACAAACAGCACTTTTTACTGAACTTTGCATTCCTCCCCCTCCTCGATGATCAGATCATCTGACTGATTTTGTGCTGATCTGACAGTTGGATCTTCAAGCTGAACATATTCTGTGCAGTCCAACCCATTTGTCTTTCTGTGGCTTCCGCTACGACTCACCTCGGGAGCTGTTGAAACTTTTCCGAACATGCTGTTTGAAGGACTCGGGACCAGCTCAGCCTTGTAGGAACTCAACTCCCACTTGGTCAAAAATCGCGCTTCTCGTTCAGCTCCACTCCATTGAACGCGATGCCATGCCACTTTTGGACTTCGTAGCAGAATTGCCAAACGCGGCGAGCTTTGCACCTCGTTGCGAAGTGCAACATATAGCGGTAGTTGTGGTAGACTATAATTGTACTTGTAGCTATATGCGTATCGACGCTGTATATATGTATCAACGGTCTACATATTGCAGTGTATATATATAATATAATATATCATTTATATTATTATTATTATTACTATTATTACTATTATTATTATTATTATTATTTAATCTACATGCCATTTATACATCGTTGTATTTGCACCTATATAATCATAATCATAATCATAATCATAATCATATATAATAATGGTCGCCGCTGAACTTACAGGTATGGTAAAAGCTACAATATATGTTTTTATATTTGATCTGTGCGCATCGTGCATACATGGCCTTTTCCGACGAAAAACAACGTTGTATTGAGAAGAGATACCCCTGGCAAGTTGCCATTGGTGACTAAAACACTGCAAATATTACTGCTGGTGTGGTGGACAGTACTGCGAAGAGATGCATTTCTGTCGCAGCATGAGCCATATTGATGCCTCCATGATTTCGGCTGAAGCCTTGATCTTGAATGGACCTGTATGGAATGATCGAATATCAGTGTCTTTCGGTCTCTGCATGTCTCAGTGCGGCCTCAGTGGTCACAAAGGCTCGAAAGCGCTGCAAAGAGCAATTACGCAAAAACTTCACCTGCACACAGGCGATGCAAAAAATGATTTATGATGCATTATTCAATGGCAGATTTTTGGATCTTCCATGGATGTGATCTAGTACAGGGACACGCTGGGAGCATCAAGATGGGCCACACTCTTTGAAGTCAAGAAACCCAAATATGTACTGTAAGCTGTTCACGAATTAAACTGATGGTCAGACTGGTTGTCCCTGCTTCCCTACATTGTCCCATGCCTGCTGATCGCGGGTGTCAAAGGCAAAAGTTCGTTCCTGGATGTAAAGCCAGTCTTGGCTCAAGGCTTCCCAAGCATTGTGAGCCGGTTCTTCCAGCTGCAACGCTAGGCTTTCACAGTGTCCGCGAAACCTGACCACAGCAGGTGTCTGGGTGATACCCTGTTTGATGCGTTGATCGAGAAAATTTATCAAAACCAGATCATAAATTATGAAAATGGCAAAGCATCTACCGTCAAAAACATCCCGGCGGGTGGGAAACTGCGCTAGCAGTTCAGCACTTTTTGAAAAAAACGTTTCTGGCGCTGTGGCGCCGTGCGCGTTTTTAGATCAACATTACCTAAATTGTCCCAGGGAAAACTAAGTGACTTTGAAGAAATGATGTGGTATTTACAGGGTTTTGTGCATCTGGGGTGGTGTTCCCTTTTTACTTCTGCTTTGGACGTCTCACTTCTCCAAGCGTTTGCTTAGAGCGTTTGCTTAGAGCGTGGCCGGTGAGACTGAGGAAGTCTTTGTAATTCCCGAGAGCGCCTGCGAAGGGTTCTTCGTAAAAAAGCAGCCGTTATATACATCTTCACAACCTCACATTTGCTGATCTACATCTTCACACCTTCACACCTGCTGATCTACATCTTCACACTCTCACATCTGCTGATCTACATCTTCACACCTCACATCTGCTGATCTACATCTTCACACCTTCACACCTGCTGATCTACATCTTCACACCCTCACACCTGCTGATCTACATCTTCATGCCCTCACACCTGCTGATCTACATCTTCACACCTTCACATCTGCTGATCTACATCTTCACACCCTCACATCTGCTGATCTACATCTTCACACCCTCACATCTGCAGATCTACATCTTCACACCTTCACATCTTCTCTCGCTCTTCTTTCTATCTCTCTCTTAAGGCGGGGGCGGTGCCGCCGGAGCGCCACGAAACGCAACCCTTTCGCACGAAATGGACGTTGGACGTCAAAAACTGATGTAAAATTGCGATTTTGAAGTATCCATCGCAACCCTTTCGCACGAAATGGACGTTGGACGTCAAAAACTGATGTAAAATTGCGATTTTGAAGTATCCATCGCAACCCTTTCGCACGAAATGGACGTTGGACGTCAAAAACTGAGGTAAAATTGTGATTTTGAAGTGTCCGTCGCAACCCTTTCGCACGAAATGGAAGTTCGATGTCAAAAACTGAGGTAAAATTGCGATTTTACTTGGCCCATCGCAACCCTTTCGCACGAAATGGACGTTGAACGTCAAAAACTGAATTAAAATTGCGATTTCACGGGTCCGGTCTCTGTGTGTGAAAGTGTTTGTGTGTAAAAGCTTCTGTGTGTGAAAGTGTTTGTGTGTAAAAGCTTCTGTGTGTAAAAGTTTCTGTCTGTAAAAGCTTCTGTGTGTAAAAGCTTCTGTGTGTAAAAGGGTCTGTGTGTAAAAGGGTCTGTATGTAAAAGCGTCTGTGTGTAAAGCGTCTGTGTGTAAAGGAGTCTGTGTGTAAAAGCCTCTGTGTGTAAAAGCTTCTGTGTGTAAAAGCTTCTGTGTGTAAAAGCTTCTGTGTGTAAAAGCGTCTGTGTGTAAGGGTATGTGTAGAAGGGTCTGTATGTAAAAGCGTCTGTGTGTAAAAGCGTCTGTGTGTAAAAGCCTATGTCTTGGAGGCTTTGTGGAAGCTGGAAGGTTTGCGTACCGAGTGGCACATGGAACTGAGTGCGGCGGACGGAAATTAATTTGCACCACTGTTCGTCTGGAGAAACTGTTCGTGGCGAACCTGCAAAATCAGTAGCCAGCTGCTGTCTGTCTGTACAGTTGAAAAGTGTTGATCTACATGTTTTTGTGTGATCTAACTCGATGACAGACGATCTCATCTTGGTACGAGTGAACAACTATATGCATGATCGTGCAATCTGAAATTTCCGAGGTGGCTCTTGCGCCACTTTGGTACCGGCCTGGGTTTTTGATGGATGTTTTTTGGTCTTGGAGTACAGTAAATCAAATTCCTGGAATGTGTCCAGCGCTGTGCCATGCACTAAGGTTGGCACTTCTGAGCCACGACGTTTCACTGCGATTTCAAAGCATCATTTCGTGTTGGTATGTGTTGTAAAGCGTCGGCCTGTAAAAGCGCCTGTGTGTAACGGGTTTTGTCTGTAAGAGCGTCTGTGTGTACAAGAGTCTGTGAGTAAAAGCTTCTGTGTGGAAAAGCGTCTTGGTGTAAAAGCTTCTGCGTGTAAATGTGTCGAGTGTAAAAGGGTCTGTGTGTAAAAACGTCTGTGTGTAAAAGTGTCTGTGTGTAAAAGCTCCTGTGTGTAAAAGTGTCCGTGTTTAAAAGCGTCTGTGTGTAAAAGTTTCTGTGCGTGTAAAAGCGTCTGTGTGTAAAAGTGTCTGTGTGTAAAAGCCTCTGTGTGTAAAAGCGTCTGTGTGCAAAAGCTTCTGTGTGTAAAACTGTCTCTGTATAAAAGCGTCACGTTTCTTCACATCCATGGAATGATGGTGCCGAGCTTTTTCGGCAATGTGTGTACAAATTACCATAGTAAAATGAGATAACACATGTCATTCGCAGCATCATGGTACCGAGCCTCCTGTGCACTTTTGTTGCTCACATTATATTTCTCCATGTTTTCTTTCTATCCCCCTTTCCTTCTCTCTCTCTCTCTCTCTCTCTCTCTCCCTCCCTCCCTCCCTCCCTCCCTCTTTCTCTCTATCTATGTCTCTCTGTGGTTGCAAGACACGTGTCATCTGATGCCCTTTACTGTACCAAGTATCCTCTTCTTAATCAATCTTACTTTTCACACCTTATCCCTCCATAGCTCATATGAAATTCACCAACCATTCACCGACTATCTTTTACGACTACCATCCTCAGAGCTGCTTGAAAAACATCTTTTTCGCTCTCGGGCCAACCGTCGTCTAGTTTCCATGGTGCCGTCGCCCTTGCCACATTCGAATTCCTTGAAGCAACTGAGGGCTAACAGCACCACCTTCGCGTGTGCTCCAAGAACTCGACACTACGCCTTTGGAAATTTTCCACATACCATCGATACCACTGGTGTGCACAAGCAAGGTACCCCATTTCCTTCTCTTCTTGACGCAAAAGATGCCCTTACTATGATTGCAAGATTCATGAATCATATTATTTTCAGAGGTGAGTTTAGGGTAGCATGGGGCACCATCCGTCACCAAGATGCTTTTGCGACCATGCTTGTGGGTCGTGAGCACACATTTCAAAGCATCACGCGTGTACGCAAGTCACATGAACGTTATTATCCCACCCCACCCCACCCAACCCCCAACCACTGACGTAGCAGCAGCGTAGCATCACGTGTGTACGCAAGTCACATGAACGCTATTATCCCACCCCACCCCACCCAAACCCCATATTCAAAAAGTAGCACGACTACGCGCGCGTTTTCCACCCGCTAGCAAAAACATGCAGTAGCAGAAAGTAATTGAAAGTATCTGAATGTATCTAAATGTATCTGAAAATGCTGTAGATCCTTCGACTAGAAACTCTTTTTCTGTAAGTACCGAGACGTTCTGAAGTGAATCGATACTTCTATCCAGAAATTTGTCGATGCTTCGCAAAGCCACTTCCGGAGCTCGTTCGGTTTGCACCAGAAAAATCAACGAGATATGGGTCACTCGTGTTCTCATGAAGCTAGATACCACATAGCCCAACTGCTGACATGTTCGCAGTTCATTGAAGAACATCGGTTTCCAAATCTGCATGAGAAGAGCTGCCAAAGCCTCATTCTCTGGTGTTGCAGCTGCTATACTGCAAATACTCTCAACTGCACAACTGTTCCGATCCTCTGGATTTGTGCCATCCAGCTGAAGAATCGTGAGTTGATAGGGACTTGGACTCCATCGGGGCCGGGGCAATAGCATTTCAACTCGAGCTGGAACATGTCTTGCATGAAATACCCGGCTTTCAGACTCACCAACGCATCTTAAAGGATCCAGTACTGCATTCAAAATTTGTACTGCATCTGCGCAATCTACATTGCCCACTATGAGACCTTCTATGAGACACTTCCCGGAACCAAAGAACTTGGAAAACAGTCCAGTGCAATCTTCTTCCCTCAGCAAACTTGTAGCCTGAGCGAATGAGGGACACAAAAATGCTGAGCACCAATAATAGAATTGAAATAACTGTTCAGCAGACATGGCACAATTCAGCACACCTGAGCGAGCTCCGTGACAGATGGAGATTGAAGTAACAGCTCCTCCAATGTCTTCAGGGCCTGGACGGTGACGGTGGGAGAAAATCACAGCGGAACTTCATGGAACTTGGCTTATGCATCTAGTAGATTTCTCTGAAGGCACTGCTTGTCCAGACAATGCTGGCCTGGTGATATGCTTGTCCTCGAGTGGCATTTCGAAGCGTGCGCTCCTTCGCATAAAGTATCAACGAAACTATTTTGAGAGAGTCTCCCAACGGCTAAGTAGTAAACGGCTCAAAAACTGATAGAGCCCATGAATCCAAACGTACAGCGCAAGCTAAGAGTACATGCTGTTCTTGATGCAAAAAAAGTCCTGATCATCGAACATCATGAATGAAAAGCTGGCATGTGATTGGGATAGGCTTTGCAACTGTTGTCAAACGCTCTCGACAAAGTAGTCGTGCGAGACACTCTTGTGAGATGTGAAACACTCTTAGAAGACACTCTTGCAGGACACCCATGTTCCAAACTCTTGTGAGACAGTCTTGTGAAACACTTCTGCAAGACCTGCTCTAGAACACTGTTGGACGACATTCTTCCCGTACAGTCCTTTGAGGCACCCTCTTCGGACACTACTGTGAGTGCTCCTGCTATGCACTCTTGGAAGACAGTCTTGTTGCAACACTCTTATGAGACACTTTTGTGGGAGACTCCTGCAAAACATCCGGGTGGGACTCTTGGAAAACACTCTGGCGGGACACTTTCGTAAATGCGAGAGACCCTGCTGAGGCACTCTTACTCGGAAGAACAACTCTGGTGAGACACTCTTGCAGGACCCCTTTGTGAAAGGCATGTGGCAGGTACTGCAAAATAAAAAACAAGTCTTACAACGCCGCGATGCTTGCAACGCAATCTGCACTTATGGACTTCTGCGCGTAGCTGTTCAAATGCGACTCACAAAATACCTGTGGCCGGAGGGCGTGCAGTGCACTTGCCAGGCACAGTATATCAAAGACAGTTTTACATCTCCCAAGTCGTAAGTAAAAGCAACTTTGTCTTGCAACATCCATACATGTATTGCGCCACACAAAGCACATTTCGACACTCAAAAGTCACGACTAAGCACAGTATCCGTACTTTGATAAACACTTTCACATCCAAAGTGACAGGCTTTCCAGGTTTCCCATAGGGCCATAGACGGAGCAAAAGGTTGGGACCGCTGAGACGAAAGGTCGTCCAGACCTCCAAGTTGAATAGAACCCTTCACTAAGCATTCAGGAAAAATATGGAAAAACTGCAGGACTGCAGGACTTTTGATTGAAATGTTTTCGGGGCAACAAACTGTTTGGGCATCGCAAGTGGAGACATACTATGCATTCAAGTTCGTGCGCATATTACCATGAAAAAAAGCGAAGGACGCAAAATGAGACAACGCGAACCAAATAGTTTGTACAGTTGCATTGAGACACGTTTATAAAAGGGCAAGGTTCTTAGTTTGACATATATTGCTTTGTTGTTTCTTCACTTGAGACATGAGAGTATGATCTGGAAACTGTTCGATTTTTTCGAGGCTTTGCAGGCCACTTCGGCCACTTGTTAAAGTTGCAACTGTCAAAGGGCCAAAAAAGACTAAAACAACGCTCAGTATTGGATGACACTGCCACGAACTCCCGTCACACCAAAAAACGTGGCAGTGGCGTTTTGATTCCTGAGATTCACAAAATTTCACAAATAAGTTCAACCTTGCAGTGACAATGCTTTTTTTAATCTTGAAAAAGGTTCCCGTGGAGCTTTCAGAAGAGGAAGCGCACTTGTGTTTCAAGTGTTCCTGTTACAAACAAATAGGTCCAATGTTCGAGAAAGATTTGATATCAACGAGGTATCCATGCTGCTCGGACAAGGCTCATGGCACAAGTTCGACAGAAAGTTCAGATTGTTTGATGGTGATGATATTCTGACGTCAAATGACGTCATTCTGTTACCAGAAGTTCAGGATGTGAGCGTGATGTGACCTGGCAAATCCTGCTAGTCTTTCTATGTGCTCCGCTCTATTCCGTTTCACTGTCACTATCTTCACTCACAAAGCTTACCTTCTGGAGCAGGGTTGCATCAGTTGCATCCTAGAAGACACCAGCAGCAAAAAGCCCTCCAGCAATTTTCACCTAAAAAAAAGCCGCGTAAACCACAGTCAGCTGGCTAGCCGAATTGGAGTAAGAGAGTTTCTTCAACCTGCCTTTCCCAGTAAGGTAGCAGGACAAACACGAAAGTAAGTTTGGTGTTGTTTTTCGAAACAACTTAAAGCTTCATCATCCACCAGCCCATGTTGCTCCTGTTGATCTTTCACTTGTCTCCAGCTCTGCAAGAGATTGAGGGAGATGAGAGATTCTGACACTTTCTTCGCTAGCAGGTGCATCTTGTCCCTGAAGCCAATCACTTGCAATACAATGCCGTTGCCACCCTCAGCTACGTCTAGCTGGTACCTTGCACCAGCCATCCGCAACTGAAATGCATCCGCTTTAAGTTCTTGCTGGAGCAATTTGCAGTACAGGTGTGCCAATGCAACCTCCTTGGGCGTCCGCAGCGCTGACGAGTAAAAACAAAACGCAGCAGCTGCTTTTGGTTGATCCAGATTTGCTTGTTTGAACCAGGCTCGACACCACGAATCCCCAACATTCATCTCAACTGGTCGCGATTCCTTTGGCACATGTCGCATCACTAAATCCTTGGGAATAAAACTATTCTTTCCCGGCAATCTAAAGTTTTCCTGCTTTGCAATGTGCTCCCACTGGCCTGTTTCAACAGCCATCCATTTATTTTTCCAGTCCATTTTGATTGTGTCACACTTGAGAAACTTGCCACCATACCATGGCTCCGTGGATACGCAAAAACTCTCGAAGTCCTTGGAAACCAAACACAGCCGAGCGTTTTGCACCGTCATATGCCTCAAGATAGATTGGCATCCCTCAAAATCTTCTGTGTATATCAATTGATCCGCTGCAAGCACTTGTTCAGGCGGATAGTAGTGCGAATTGCATGCAATGTCTTGCACAAAATCGAACGGAGCAGAAGCCGCTGAACCCCCCAGTTCATCTGGGTAGTGAAACTGCAGCTCATGCAGTTCCCTGATTTCTGCCCAGAGCTCTTGCTGCACTTCTTTTGAACGGATCAATGAAATGTAAGCGAAGGCCAAAGTACCCACGCGCATCAGTGTCTCTTCAGTGGTGTTCACGAGGTCAACTGACAATTCCAAGGTAGATGCGACACCATGGTAGTCAAAGCAATTGACTGCATGATTTTGTGATAGACCGGCAGCAGCAAGGGCAGCGAGCAAACTTCCATCACCCTCTTGCTCAAGAAGATATTTGACATATGCAGTTGGTTTAGACTTCCACTTGGCCACTTGCCATGGTAGGAGCCATGACAACTTGAATTGGTGAAGTTCTTTGACTGGTACTACGAAAACCTGGCTACCTGTCTGGTCCATACGCCACAGGTAAAAAAACAAATCACAAAACCAGTCATCAAGCACAAGAAGTGGGAAAGCTTACCCAAATCAAAAGCGCTGCTGAACAACTCAAAAAGGATACAAAAATCTTCATGCAAAAAGGGCGGCTCTCCTTTGCCAATACCGGCACCCATCAAGTCGTTCAAGTCCTTCGATCTCACCCGAGAAGAAGGAACGCAGGCAAAGTACTTGCATACCCACTCTGTTAGCTCCTTCGTGGATTGATTTCCGACAAGAGCCAGGGACATTCTGTCCGCCTTATATGCATGAGCATGGAATGTTTCCAGCGCCTGATGTAGGTTCGTCCGCAATAAGGGATTTTGTAATGACTTGGTACAACCTGAGGTCCAATGATAAGGATGCTCCGGATTTGCATCCAAAAGTAGAATGGCCCATTGCCGTCTAAAGTCATTCGTAGTGTTCATGCTATGTTCTGCATCAATCGCCTGCAACTCCTGATACTGGTACGATGGATTAAAGATTGGTGAGACAAAAAAGCGGGCAAAGCGACTCAAGGCACCTTCAAGTTTCTCCGATTGAATTTCAAATGCAAAGCACGTCTGCAGCACTGTGGTGACAGCATTGTGAGTACCTCCAGCTTGTTTGATGTACTCAGCGAAGTTCGCATCATAGCCTGGTTGAAGGGTTCCATGCAAAAGCATGTGCTCACAGAAGTGCGCTAGGCCAGGCCTCTCTTTAGGTTCATGGATGCTTCCACCCAAAACTGCAAGGGCGGCTGCAGCGACAGACTTGTCAGGATCAGTCCCCACAACGACTCTCAAGCCATTTGCCAGTTCAAACGTAGAGAAGCTTCGGCCCCTCTGGCTATCTGTTCTTCGCTGGTGAATGTTTGACATGCAACTTGCGGTTGTACCATGCAAGACTGCACAGCATTCTGTCCATATTAGCTAAGTTTTACTGGCGGTTTAACTGGAGGCTCTTGAGCCACGTGTTATCTAAAGAGCACACTGCAAGTGAATTGAATTCTTGTCATAAGGTGTCTGGAGAGCTTTGTTTCAAACACATGTTTTGCTGGAGCAAGAAAAACAGTGAATCCGAGTGAACATAAGATTTCATCTGCAAAGCTGCTCACAAGGTTGGCGCAGAAAAGACTTTTGCACGTCGCAAGTTTCGGCAACCGAGGCATAGCTCTGCTCCAGCTATAGAAGATCTGCATTCCTCACTATTTTGGTTCGCCATCGTTTAGAAATGACTGCCCTTGCACATCCTTGCACATCCTTGCACCATTGCATGAGCTTCGTTCCTTGGGCCTGGTAGAGTCTGGTAGAGGAAGCCGTGGCAGATCTGCACCTGCGGTGGATCTTGTGGCATCGCTGCGCTGCTCAAGGAGTTCGGACGCACAGCGGTAACATTGGTATCCAGTAGTTCCAGTAGTCACTTCAATAGTCGTATCAGTCGTATCGTCATGTCTTGACTGTGTCGATTCTCCAAAGTCGAGCTACACGGAGCGGCTGGGCCTCAGGTGCAACCCTGGATTGAGTCAAGCAACTGATAGCTGATAGCAACAGTGCATCATAGACCCAGTCTGCCCTGTGCGAGCATCTCAAACCTGTAGTAGACTTTAAGACACGAAAGCACTCAAATAAACCAAATATGAAATACACTTCAAATATGCCAAGAGGCTGTGTCGGACGTTGGGATGTGCTAAAGCAGTCTACTGACAAGCTTTCAGTGCGTGTTCGCTCTGGTTCAAATGGACCACAGACAGTCCTAAATGTCGCCGTAGGGGGAGGAGGCAGAGGAGGGCATTGAGGGGTCCTTGCAGTCTGCGTTGGAGATGCTGCCACTAGGTATGGAGAGTTTGTCCTTGAGACAGCATGGGTTGAGGCAACTCGTCTTGCTTCAGCTTGCACTTCCTCAGGACCAACAAGTTGCCCAACATGCTGCAGTCTATTCACGGTAGCCAAGAACGCCTTGAAAGTAAAAAGGATGTCAATTTAAAAAAGGACAAGACATGCAAATGAGCTGAAATGGTCCCGGAGTCCTGCACAGGGCTTGACACAGTTGCCCAAGAGGCCAGCGCACTGGCACACAAGGACAACGACGAGAATGGCGACGACGACGGCAACCACAACCGCGACGAGCACAACAATCACGACGACGATTATATTATATCTTATATAATGAAAACCACAACGACAGTGACGATAACGACCACGACCACGACGACGATGACAAGAGGAGAAGAAGAAGAAGAAGAAAAAGAAGAAGAAGAAGAAGAAACACAAGCAGAAGCAGAAGAAGAAGAAGGAGGAGAAGAAGAAGAAGAAGACGGAGAGGGAGAAGGAGAAGGAGAAGAAGAACAGTAACAACAAAAACAATAGCAATAATAACAATCATGAAAGAAACAATGAGTGAATGTTTCATGACAAGGCAGTGGACTCTCCTTGACTTCAACTATGTAAATAAAACCTCTGCCGAAGAGGGTTGTTTTTGGGCTACTAGGATCAACATTATTGTTGCACACGGCAATACAGCATCAAATGGATATGTTCAGCTTGGCTTCTGTGAGCGCAGTGAACAAATCAAGATCTCTCTGATCTCTCTGATCTCTCTGATCTCTCTGATCACTGTCTGTATCTGGTTCCCGGCATTCGCCACCACAATGACCATAATCGAAGCAAAGATCTGGTTGCAAATAACTTCGACCAGGTTGCCATACGACCTGCTGGTGGAAGCAACCTGATTGCTCCGAATGGTCTACTCCATGCAAGATCCGCATCATATGAACTGGGTTCACGTTGAACCAGTTAAAAGGGTACATACGCTCAAGCTGCTCGTATGGTAAGTCGTCATACCAAACCCTTTCCGCTGAACTTCTGAGCCCGCTTTGCCCTTTGTCAGATTGCATAATGCGATCGAAAGCCCACAAGTAGAGCAGGGAAAAGATTGAGACCGGCACTATGAACGCTGCAGGACGGCCAGCTCTGAATCCCCAATGACAAACACATCCAGCCAAGACTCCAAGCGACATGGACATCAACTCGAGCACGGAAGTGTCAAGAGTTCGCGACGTGTAAAAGGTTTCTTTGCTTAGCCCAAGATAAATGTACTTATTGATGAAGTAGATGCCACATGCCCACATAACATCCCAAGAAAAGACTCGCCAAGAATCAAAGCCAAATAGGAAAAGACACATGAACGATGTTGCTTCCAACACCACGATTCCTGCATAGTCATACTGCATATACCACTCTGGAGGCTCAGCAACACCTTCAGCCAACCATTTACACCTTCTTTCTGTGACTCCGGACCTATCTCGAAACAGGTGCAAACGTAGCACTTGTGCCATGCCTTTCAACCAGTAGAAAGGATAATACAATGGCCAAATAGCATACGAAATCAGGGAGCCTCGCAAGAATGCAACAAGTGCTGAGCCCAGTTGAGATTCAAAGTGAATTGCTGCAATAGGATCTCGCGGCACTGAACCAGCTGTCCAGCAGATTACAAAAAAATTAAATCCCATGTTGGTGAACACCACCAAGGTATACCAAGTCAGAACAAATGTGTCACAATGCGTCTTGACACGATAGCCCACTTGCTGGGAGGCAAACCATACCAATTGGTTTAGAAGTACATTTCCAAGAGCACAACACCAGGTGACAAGCCTAGTCAGGATCTGCTCTGGGTGATACCCTCGTTGGTACACCATTTTGTACAAGAGGTAATACAGGGTCAACATCACAACAAAGGCGCTGACAATCAGCAGGTGTGCCAACAAGATCTGCTGTTGTCTGACAGTCAGAAAGAACGTGTATGCCCGACCGCAGCAGGTAAAAGTCGTTTCCTTTCCTGGCCTGAACAAGTGAGCAGCGAAGTTTGTCCAAATCATGGAAGGTGGCTCACAGGGAATTGGCGCCACTTTGATTCTGTAGCCTTCCCATTCGTTCTCATCCAAACACTGCTGTATTTCTTGCAGAATTTCAACCGACTCACAAGGCCAGCGCCAAACGACCACTACAGTTCCTGAGTTAGGAATGGAGCGCAACACGTGCAGAACATGATCACTGCCTTCAGAAACACCGCTTGTGTAACCAGTTTGCACCCGTCAGTCCGGTCAGTTCAAGAGCACTGGCACGCTGCTGTGACAGTGAAGCAGGAAGCATCGAGTCCTCGGATTCTGAGTCGGACCCAGAACCAGCAGAACCAGAATCAGAGACGGCAGAAGCTGCGGCTCGATCTCGAGTGGTTTCGAATGCTTGAAGACGGGCAGCTACATCAATCAAGTGCTCTTCGACTAAGCACTTGATGAGCTGTGAATGAGCTCTGTAATCATACCCAATTGAAATGCCAACAATCTCGGGTCGCCATTTCAAACTACCCTCGCCCTCGGCTTGGAAAGATTGCAATGATTTTTTAAAATATTCCAATATTTTTTTTTGGTTTGCAGTTTCTGGAAAACCAGAAGCAATTGAAGCGTAATCTGACATCTCCGCATGCATCCGGTCAAATTCATCTCGACGTGCTCCTTGCCGATACAAATGGTACAAATGCAGGAGTGAGATGATGATGTAGAGCCGCATGAGAGCAAATGCTCTCTCTTGCGCCAAATCCCCCCAAACGGCAGCAGCTTGGGGAGCTGAAAGACGGTCCGTACACCAATCTGTCGATATGTAAAGTAAAAATCTGGTAGAGACGCCATTTCCGATTCGACAAAGGACTGCAATAGCTAAAAACAACACCATGGTCGCGCGGTACAAAGTCAGCCCAACACCAGCAATATTAACCATATCCAGATCCAGACAAAATATTTTTCGCAAATCTTTGCAACTAAAGACGTTTGCTTGCCAGCGCAGAGGTTTCCAATTTTGCCTTTTTTGTGGAACGGACGCATGGCAACGAGTTTGATGCAGCAATGCGCTTCTCATCAACCTCACATATGATCCGCTGTGGTATTTTTCATGGAAGTGGAGAGCCAAACCAATAATCAATATGACAGCAAAAACTCCAAGTAGTGCTCCGGCAATAGAAAACAACACAGCCGTCAAGGCCGGGGTGGATTTGGCCTCCAATGATGCGGTGTTTTTGGTGACATTGCTACAAATTTGATTCCAGACAATTTCATCCTGCAAAACGCAATCCGGGTCAGAATTTGTGCATTCTCTTCTCTGCAAAAACCAGCTAATGGCGATAGCCAGACAAATGCCTAGCACAAACCAAGCCACATGAGCACATCTCCGCAGGCGTCGAAGAGTTTCCATTGCGAGGAAATATTGAGGTTTTACAAAACTAAAAGGACATGTTTTTTTGAATTATGACAGTTGCAGTCAACATCGGTCCTTTATGTCAGCTAAGAAACTGTTTTGCCCATGTTCACTTTCAAATTGCAACCAAATTGATGATGCACCTGGTCTTACGTGCACCTGGTGGTCAGAAGCAATGGCCACAACTGCAATGCCAAAAACACAAGACATAAATTTCTATCATTTTGTTTGGCAAAATAGAGGACTGCAAACCACAAAGTTTGAGTTTTGGTTGTATCATGTTTGTTTTCGTGGAGTTTGGAACATGCACAAAAATCCAAAACAAATATAAAGTCAATTCGCGCAAATACTGGGAACGGAATGTTTTTGTCAACAATCAGAGGAAAAATGCAAACGTTTGCTCACATAAATTCATGACATGTTCAGAAACATTTTTTCAGCAAAAATTGCATCCATGTCCTTTCAAAAATGTTTTTTTGAAACATTTGTGTATATTTACTAATACATATATACACATACATATACACACATATTTTTCATGTACGTAAATGTATGTAATGATTTATTTATATATTTACATAGTTTTAAATTCTGCTGTGACGACCCTCGCTTGCAATGCGGTCTTTTGTCCAAAGGGGTGTGCAAGGCTGGTCTGTCGCCAGGCTTTGGGCTTGGCACACCCCCAACCACCTGACAAGGTATCAGGGTGGCTGAGGGTGGGCGTGAAAAATTCACAAAAGAAAAGAGACATGTTGAAGTTGCGACCATTGTCATTGAAAGAAACCATTGTTTCACATTGACATGTTTGACATTCAAACCTGTAAGCCAGAGCTCGGTTGATTCACATCAGTTCATCACCTCACATCAGAATTTAGTTCGCTTGCCGTTGTCTTGCTTACTTAAATTCTCCTGTGACGACCCTCGCTCGCAATGCGGTCTTTTGTCCAAAGGGGTGTGCAAGGCTGGTCTGTCGCCTCCCCTTTTTGAAACATGGCCAGGCTTGCATACAGTGTTCAGCCAAATAGTTGCACAGTCGATACTGTCACGCAAGCATCCACAACTCATCAAATGATCAATTTGAAGACGCGAAGGGTCATCCGATATATTGGATTCTGTTGGTACACGAGTGATCCAGGAATTGCATTCGGCATCATTCTCGGCTCTGAGTATAGCATCAAGTATAGGAAGAGAATTTGTGCTGCTGGTGTGGCAAGCTATGAATGCATCCCTCACAGCATCACTGTCGGTGTGGATCACCACATTGCATTGATGGAGAAATTCTTTCCAAACAGTCATTGCACAAAGCACAGAGAAAAATTCACACTCGTAAATTATTGTCTTCCTTCGGGAAACATTGATATCTCTCAGGAGGTCAGGTGGCAACCTTTCTGAAAAGAAACGGCGCCTGCATCCAAGCTGGTCCACCAAGACCCCACCAACGCCAGAAAAAGGTTCCGACTCATCTGGTTCATGCCAAGCATCAGTGAATAGAAACCATGTCGTTGTAGACTTCGATGAAATCATCCTGGGCGCACCATTGACCAGCATGTCTCTAAAACGAGACAGGGCATGGGCCGCAGCTTCAGACAGTGTCGATGACTCAGAGCTATATGCATGCTGCGTTACCACTGCTAGGCACCGACGGGCTAAGCGCCCATAGAATTCGCCTGATGCGAATTGCATTCGCCCTCGCAATCTAAGGGCCTCAAGCTTCGCCAAAGACTTTGATGCCACGGCCTGATCCAGCGACTGGGCCAATTCCTCTCGCCTGCTCTCTGTGTTGGCCACCTTCACCAATCCTTGATGTAACCTTGACACATCAAACTCCACGCCAAGCGCCACAAGATTGTTGCTGAAAGGCGGTGCCTTTGGTCCATCTTCGGCGAATCGCCAACCTAACAATCTGAAAACAGCCTTCACCGTGTAATCAACCGATGCAGCTTCACGGGACTCAGCAATGGAGACAAAGTCATCGAAATAATTGGTTGTTATCACCCAGAAAATTGATGTAAGGATGGCCCACAGGCTGTGTGCGATTCGAAGGAAACTGTGAACAGATTTCACGCTTCCAAAAGGGAGCGCCTTGAGGCGAAAGGCTTTCAGTGATGATGTGTTGGGATCTCCAACAACAATATATGAAAACTGCCGGGATTCAGGGTGCACCGCGCACTGTCTGTATGCGTTTTTCAGATCAAAACTCCGTGACAACCAAGCGTGACCACCTTCAGCATGGCACATCACCGCACTGATCATCGCTGCCACCACATCAAGAGTGTGAGGTTTTGGGGATTCTCGTGGTTGTGAGGCAGCGTTTATCCCGGGCCAAGAAAAATCATCCACGCATCTTATCTTTCCACTCTGCTTGACCCCAAAGCGCCTGCAGGGTGGAAAATGCGAGGGCACCTCGCTAAGGTCAAAAGGTCCCTCAGCTTCCCCACGAGAAACTTCTTGCAACGTCTGATCCCATACTGAATGTGCAATCTCGGAGTCAAAGAAAACCACCTGCCCAAATGAAAGGCCATCTCGTTGCAACCTTGCTTGTGCATGCAGCTCCCTCTCAGTCATGGTGGCGGGAGTGATCTTCGATGGCCACAAATTTGTTAGGTCTGTCTGTCCTGTCAACTTAGAGCCAGCGCGGAACTCATCAACAACACCCATATCGCTGTAGTTGATGGACTGGAGCATTTCCTTCCACACACGGATCCTCTTGCCTTGCAAAACTTCTGCAACTCCAGGCTCTAATGTCTGCGCCAGTTCCTCTTCCTGACGTTTGAGTTGAAGAGACCTCCTCAACCAATACTTCAGGGCTTGGGCCCTATGAGCCATACGCTGTGAGCATGACTTCATCAAAGATTTTCCAATGCAATCCATGAGCATCGGTGGCAGAGAAGAATGCAGCTTTGCTGGGTGGCCTGCCACAACTGCCATGTCTACAAACTCATCTGGGGTCCAAGGAGTCCCCCAAACCTGAAGCTGCCAATCTTCAGCGACGCTAGAATCTTCCGCCTTCAAAGTCAGAGTCTGCAAAAACTCGCCTGTAAAAGCCGTTGCAACATTGTTTTCAAAAGTGTCAGAACTTGTCGAAAAATGATTGTCAGAAATGGCAACATTGCATTCAGAGTTTTCTGCATTGCATTCAGCATTTCCAGCATTACATTCAAGCGAAGAATTTCCTGCAGTTGTAGCATTGCTTGCCAAATTGTCAAAAATTGTTGAAAATTGACCGTCAGAAATTTCATCATTGCATTCATGAACATGCCCTGGTCCACCAGTTTCCTCGGCGCTCAGTCCCCCCTTGATTTGAGAGGAAACGTGTTCAATGGCAAGAAGTCGAGACCCTTTCGGCAGCCACTGTTTGGGCTCTTGTACAAGCAAAACATCAGTTTTGGTTCGTTGTAAAACAGAAAACTTCGGCAAAACGGACTTGGGTCCTTGAATTTTGAAACGTTGCTTGTATGTACGTACCAATGGTGGAATTCTTGATGATCTCGCCTGATGTCCAACGGATGCTCTAATCTTCTGCAGTGCCTGCAAAGAGCATGGCTGCACCTTTTCCAACGTATCCGCCAAAGGATGGATACCACATCGGAGCAGCACACGGGTGAAAACGACTGCAATCAAACGTGCAAGTCCCATTGGATAGGCTGTCTCATCAGCCGTCGCAAACCCATTGGTTGCGTTCAGTCCCCATCGGGCGTGCTTATGTCGGCTACTTTGTCCTGGGCACATTGCCGACACAGCCAAAAATTCATCGGCATTGAATGCCAACATTGTTTTCTTTTTCCGCAATCCACCGTACTGACATGAATGAAAAACTGAATACATGGCAAGGTGCGCAACTTCCGTCCAAAAGGTTGTGGCCCAAAATAAACTGAACTGAGGGTTCTCAACAACAAAAATAACACCAAACTCAATGCATTTGACTAACTTCGCAGTTAAATGATACAGCCATACAGCTGATTGGCCAGAGATACTCGACTCAGTTCTGAAGGATTCAGATTTGGAATTCCATTTGGAAATTGATCTGTACGTAACGGCCTTGGTCCATTTCTCTTGCTGCCGAACTTCCTTTTTAACGGGATTTGACGTGCTCTAGAAGCAGATCCGCAGGGAGGAGCAAGAAAAATTCCGACCACATTGGGCATGTTTAGCCAGCTCATCAAAAGTTCTTCCCCTTCGGGAGTTGTCAAATCAGCAATGATAACTGTAGACATAGCGTTCTTTGAACGAACTTTGTCAACGCCAAAGCTGCTTCGAAGGCCTAGTTGTTTCAACGAGGCCGTCACGCGTGATGAACCCGCAAAGATCTCCACTATGAGGCAATCTTCCAAGCTAGCGCCTTTGCTTGCCATTTCAAAGACGCGTTCTAACCGTCAAGGCTTCCGGTTCTTGTCATGGTCAAGAAAGCTATGAGGAGCATGGCAACCCTTCTTCATGCACAAGTGCCACCCACGGCTGCATTCCGCTCCATGTGCAGCGTCCTGACACTTATTGAGATTGAAATTGAAGCACAGCCTGCGATTGTGATCGTCCATTCCAACACATCCTTTGTTCTGCAACTCTGCAGGCAAGATGTTTGCAACCTTTTTCCCCTTTCCTTTTCCTTTGCCCTTTCCTTTGCCTTGTGAAAAGGCTGACCTGCACGCGACTGCCAATTCCATGACTGACTTGGCTGTCCAGGGGTCGAAGGTTGCTGTGGTTTGGCTTCAGCCACCTTGGCCTTCGGCAATGGCATCAAATGAAAACCAACTTCGTAGGATTGTAATGCATCCATGATCTCTGTGTCCATCTCAAGAGTATCGTCTGGACGCCTTCTGACATTCACGTCCTTGCGAATCATGGCAAGAAAAACTTGCCTGTCAGCTCTGAGGAGCTGCTGCAATGTTGTTTTTACATATCCATCAGGTGCCTCTGTTCGCAAGTGATTGAAGAGGGATTGTAGATAGCGTTCATGAACTTCCCAAGACAGTGCGTCGATAAAGGCGAATGCCACGCCCCGTCTTTTCAGGGCTTCAAGCACTTGAAGCTCAGTGCTTGCAGCTTGGTCAGGAACCTTGGACTCCTCCTTGACCAGCAACTTGTCAGCATCGACATGCAGCTGTTTTGATGACTTGGAATATAGTACTTCATGCTCACGACTGGTCAGCTTTGCAATCTCAATGTACTGCAATTGTTTTGTCTCCCACATCTGAGCCACTAGGTTCAAAAGAGCGTGAGAAGGTTCGAGCTGGTGCTCAAGCAAGACGCCAGGCAACCGGGCCCTCAATTGCCTCATTTTTGCTTCTCGCTCAACTGGTGGCAACTTTCTGGTCATCTGCATCTCAGGATTTGACACCTGCTCGCGTAACTGAGCCATGACCAACGTTTGGGCCTCAAAAAGCAAACGCCTCAGAGAACTCACGTCCTGCATTGTAGCCATTGCACCCAGCACGTTGGTTGCAAACCTGGTGAATTCCAATTCTGGCACCGGCATCCCCGGCTGACCCACACCGAAGGCCAATCGGCCAAGGGTAGAGTATCCTGCCCCAAAAGTGGCCTGTTTGCCACGATCACTGGGGCCAACTTCATCACATCTTTTCTGAAAATGTGCTTCACTGTCCAGAATGGAAGTCATTGCTGCAAAGGGTAAGGTGACACAGAGTTGTGCAATGTAGGAAAAAGTGAGAAAATGAAGTTCCACCTGAAAAAGTCATAGTTGCCGAGCTTTCGCAATAGAGAATATATCAGGTATAAAAACACATCAGCCTGAAGTTAAGTTTGGATCCAATGACCCGCTCCGTCTGCCTCAGTGACAGTTGCTAGAGCCTGCACAGCTTCTACACAGTGTAGATTCTTACCACATCGGTAATCATTGCCACATCGGCAAAAATTGAAATGGCACATTGCCGTGACACACATGTGGTCACTTTTCTTCCCCCACATTGAGGTTCTGAAAAATACAAGTGGCACATTGCCCGGCACATTGCCGTACCCACATTGGGTGCGAATGAATCATCATGATCATGCACATCAAGAAAAAGATGCAACAACCGCACATGGCAGATTATGAAAACAACGGCATCACCCACATTGGACCATTCACATGCAATGTCAAAACGAAAACTCACTGCACACATTGGCAACCAACACAATAGAACGGCCTTTTTCTCAGCATGGCTCAACGACGTTTGGGTGGCTCACGGCACCCTTTGAAACAGACACGACATTTGGCGGTCCAATCTGGCACTGTTTGTACCACAATGAAGCCTGCTGATGTAAGCCTTCCACATTTCGTAGTCTTCTTTTGAAGAAGCTCGCCATTTGCATAGATTGATCCAGAAATGTCCGGACCAATGTCTGGGACACGGTGTATGATACCTGTCCTTCCATTCTTCACCATAGCATCCAATGAAAATTCGTCCTCATCAGGTGGACGCCTGTCATGGCTGACTTCAACCTCATGCTCCACGTCAGAGTCGACGTCCTCACAACCTGATGTCGAAGACGACGAATCCGATGATGACAGGACCTCGATCTCGGATGCTTGAATTGCGCTGTCAACCTCTATGCACTCACTCTCCTTCTTTGGTGTGATGTGCTCCCATTCATATTCCGGTCCTGCAGCAGCGCAATGCTCAACTCCCATCTCCTTTGACAGGAATGCCGGCGTTCCAGGCTGGAAAACCGGTGCTGGCGTACCTGGCGCCAATGGATTGGCCCCTTTGAAAAAGTCGGCTCTAGGTTGATCTGTTTCGAATTCACCATCTCTAATAAGAGTGAGAACTCGCTGCAGAGCTTTCACCGGGGCCACTGCAAGGTCCCGAGCATAGATGGAGTCCGAGTCCTGCAAACTTGATGAGTGCCTACCCAGCAATCTACGTTGCTCTCTGGGTAGTTCAGCTTTTGCCGCCCAGGATAAACATGTCGTCTTGAGCGAGTGAGAGGTAACGTCGCGGTCATCAATTTGCAAAAGACACCTGATCACCATTGTGGTTTCCGAGCATGTAAGAGGCCTACATAGCCAGGCCCCCTCCCGGTTGAGGTCTGGAGCTGGCTGAATTGCACAATCAAAAACTCCGGCAACCTTCAATCCAGCTCGCCTGCGAAGTTTCAGCCACGTTGATAGCCAATCGTCGTGGACCACTGCTGTCGACGATGCCAAGATTGGCAATAAAAGACTTTTCTTTTCAGCACTCTTGGCCGCCTTGTGATACCTTGTTGAAATCTGGATGAAGTCGGGGGCACCAGATTATGACGCTTTTGCACTGACGTCATGGAGAACTTCATGAACATGGGCCAGGTCGCTAGTCCGACTTCGAGTGTACAACATCAGAAGAAGGTGTGATGCTAATACCCTCTGTTGCAAACTTGCTGACTGGTCAATTGTCACGGCATGCAACTTCTTGACCTCAGCAACAGTCAATGGCCTGGCCTGCTTTGTCGTTGACTTCATTGCCAACTGCAGCTCTGCTGAACCGAGGATTCTCCTGCTAAGAATACATGCCTCTGCTCCATCAATCTGAAGTGACTGAACGAATGATGTTGCCTTCGTGGGGGCTGCATTTGAAGTCCGCAAATGCTGGATGTAGTCCCAAGCCACATTCTCGCTCATTGGCAAGAATTCAAGTTCAGATTGTGTGCAAAACCATCTGTAAAAATGAAGCAACGCATTGACCCTTTTGATAACTGTCCCCGGGCAGCGCGTCCCCAGGATTGCCAAAAAAAACGTCACTCCTGCCTTGCTCAGTTGCCTCACTCATTAGTTGTCGTCCAACTCCACTGAACTCAAGCTCAACCTCTAACAAGCACTTCAGTTTCGCAATCACCTTGTCAGTCTGAACTGCCCGCTCATCAATGAACGATCTGTCAACCCTGTTCTTTATACATTTCGACACTGCAAAAACCAAAGGTTCCTTTGGATGCACCTCAACACCTGGAAAAACATCTGCAATGGGATCCAGAAGCTGCGCATTCCAGTTTGCTGGCATACTCAACGATGGTGCCGCAAGAGGATCGCCAAAAATTGGCGCCAACCATGATTGTTCCCAAGGCAACACAATTGTTGAAGGTTCCATTCCAGTTAAAAACGCATTGGTGACAGACGTAGTGTGATCCTTCTCAGTAGCAGCTGACAGTGGAGGCTCTGAGACCTGTTGCTGATTCTGTGGAAGAGCATCTGAATTGACCAAACTTGGAGATGGCACAACGTCATCCTCTTCAACTCTTCTCTTCTTCGACCACCGTAACCTGAACCCTTTTAATGGATCAGAACCACCTTCCGGGTCACCAGCATCTGACGCTCCAAACAAGTCTGTGGCCTCATCGACGTCGGCAACCAAGTCTGTAGACAGGAACTCATCCATGGCATCAAGGAAACCCCCCGACGTGAAAAATTCACAAAAGAAAAGAGACATGTTGAAGTTGCGACCATTGTCATTGAAAGAAACCATTGTTTCACATTGACATGTTTGACATTCAAACCTGTAAGCCAGAGCTCGGTTGATTCACATCAGTTCATCACCTCACATCAGAATTTAGTTCGCTTGCCGTTGTCTTGCTTACACTTTGTTTTTGTTTTTGTTTTGTTTTTGTTGTTGTTGTTGTTGTAGCACCGTTCTTCCAACACGCACACACTCGTTTAGTATCAATTCCGGACTTTGCTGCCGTGTCGTGTCACACACATACAATGAGGTCAACAAAAACAACAGTATTTGGATAAATCGGAAAATGCGAATATTGCAACACACTTTAAATCCGGATGCTCTGTCCAATAAATCTATGTAACCCATGTTCGAAATGTTTGCCAAAAAAACAGTTGATAAAAATGGTTCATGTGCATGTTGTTCTTGCCAGCCCACCGCCATGCAACAAAACATATAGGGAACGAGCGTGATTGAACTGATATTTCTCATAGATTTTCGCGTGCGAAAAAATATGCAGTGTCGTCTAACTACCAAATTTGTCCAATGCCCGAACTGTTCCACCAAAAACGTTTGCATTTTCTGATGTTTTTCAAACATTCCAATTCTTTTTTTAGGGAAACCACCAATCTTGCGTGATTGCCCGAACCCTGTTGGGATGATGTTTCAACCTGTGCATTTCACACTCCACCGCAAACCATGTATCAAACAAATCCGCCCGCACCGAAGGTGCCGAGGCGTGACAGTTTAGCAGCGAGGGATACGGACAGATCAGTCAGACGGGCACAGCTTCAGTTGGGCGGGAAGGATTTTTGAACGGAACAGGGACTGTGATGCTTTGCACAGTTTGCAGATCGGCCCAAAATCACCCAAATGAACCGCTTCAACTTTCCAAACCTTGGAACCCATGCTTCCCGGTCTTGGAACCACGGGTCTCCAGTTTGAAGAGCTGCTGGTTCCCAAACCTTGGAACCAATGCTTCCCAATCTTGGAATCACCGGTTCCCAGTTTGAAGAACTGCTGGTTCCCAATCTTGGAACCACGGGTTCCCAGTTCTAGGAACTAACGGTTCCCAAACTTTGGAACCAATACTACCGAATTTTGGAACCTGGGGTTCCCAGTTCTAGAAACTAACGGATCCCAAATGTTGGAACCAATGCATCCCAATCTTGGAACCTCAGGTTCCCAGTTCTAGGAACTAGCGCTCCCCAAACTTTCAACCAATGCCTCCCAGTTCTCGGAACTAACGGTCCCCAAACCTTGGGGAACCAATGCTTCCCAATCTTGGAACCAATGTTTCTCCCATACCTGGTCCAAAGTCTGAAACTTAAACGCGCTCGTCTCTACACACGATTAGTTAACCTACGCACTTAAAAACGCCAAAACAAACAACAAACTCAAAAATCCCAAACCTAAAAGCAACCAACAAACGAATCACGACACGGCTCTGATAAAAATCGACATGCAGAAACTCTGAAACAAATCGCAAACGTGAATTCGATAACCCTTGCAGTTCCGGATGATGCTCTCTTTCGCCTTTTTGCTTCGCATGGACTGGGGTCCAAAGTTCGCTTTGACCCAACGTGACCGTGGGTTCAGAGATCAGATTCAGTTCGTAGAATGGCAACAACTCAGGTTCACTTGGAATAGTGGGAATTGTTATTCCAGCTGGACTGTTCTCTTTCACCCCCATGGGCAATTTTTGGTGGGATAAAGTTTGGGTAGGGACGAAAATTGTCCATGGCAAACCATGAAGACGAACCCGCCCACCCATACCCTTAAACAGGAATGGCCACACGAACATATAATCTGATGTTCACAAGGGTCATTAAAAATTTGATTGTCACTGCATCACTTTGTGATCATGTGATATCTGTTGATTCCTTTGATTGGAATTTGTGTATAGCAAGGTGAGAAGTGAGGATAAGATTCCGTACTTCAAATTAAAAATGTTAAACAGGTTGTTTGGGATTTAGTTTTGGTTTGAGTTGGTTTTGTTTTGGGCAGCGCAACGTAGGTTAAACGGATACGTGTATAACGGGCGCAACGTATGTTACAGACCGGACTATATACATAGTCCTGTTTGGACGGTTAGAGAGAAAGTATCGTCAGCGAGCTGAATCTACCTTCTCCAATACCTAGTCCAAAGTCTGAAACTTAAACGCGCTCGTCTCTACACACGATTACTTAACCTACGCACTTAAAAACGCCAAAACAAACAACAAACTCAAAAATCCCAAACCTAAAAGCAACCAGCAAACGAATCACGACACGGCTCTGATAAAAATCGACATGCAGAAACTCTGAAACAAATCGCAAACGTGAATTCGATAACCCTTGCAATTCCGGATGATGCTCTCTTTCGCCTTTTTGCTTCGCATGGTCTGGGGTTCGGTCCATTCTGGCAACCACTTAGGTTCACTTGGGATAGTGGGAATTGTTACTGGGGAGGCCCCAGCTGGTGGGCCACTCGTGATTATCAGGCATCTGCATCTTAGACCATCTCGTAGCAATGAAACGCAGTGAAACGCACAGTGAAACGCACAGTGAAACGCGCACGGCGCTGTGTAACGCAGTGAAACGCGCAGTGAAACGCGCAGTGAAACACACAGTGAAACACAGCACGAAACGTTGCAATTTACAATGAAGCAAGGGCTTTCTTCCCGCAAGCACTTTTTTTTTGCCCTCTGGTGTGGCCGATAACGCTCTGAGGCTCGGTCCTTACATGAGAAGAAGCAGGTTAAAATAACATCTACATGGACACCTGTGGTCATGTAGGTTGGCAAATCACAACACAAAAGAAACAACAAACCCAAACCGCAAAGGGCGAAACGCAGATCCCCCAGCCAGATATGCGCTTCGCCATCCAGCAGAGAAACAAAGCAAAAAGCGAACGGGGCAGGGCCCAACAAAAACAACCACAAACAAGATTTGCCAAGGACACAGTGACGAAAAGCCACTGTGTCGCAACTCACAAAAAGATGCACTAAACGAATTAGTTGCTGCCCAGAGAGTGAAACACGCTTCTAAATGGTTGTTGCTGACAGACAACAAAGCATTAGCTGTACACCATTGCATTCTAGCCTCTCAGAGTCCTCTCACAAGTTCTTTTTTTCCGTCCAACGCCTTCTGGCTTCCGCCAGGTCGTCCAACACGTTCAATTGCATGTTGCAAAATAGAATTAATTAGTCAATTAACGCATACATGGCCGTCTGCAAATTGAGGGGCCTCAAGAGTGAACTGGTATAGAGTCCTCTCACAAGTTCTTGCTCAGGTGTTTGGTTCAAGACGAAATGCGTTTGCCGTGAACCGAACGGTGGGTTCAGGAGCAGGAAGAGCAAATTGTTAGCAGCTAACTTGCAATTGTACCGCCCCCCTTACGGGGAGCAGCTCCGTAGCAGTGGCTAGGACGGTCACACAGGGCAAGGTAGGTGACCAGCCAACATCCGTCACTCACCAAGTTCATCACTGGGCAGACATGAATGATGTACCAGGTTGAAGGGGAGACAAATCCTGTCGCAAAATGCAGAGTCAGCAAAACATTGTGTCATGACCAGCCTGTAGCCGCAATAGGCAGGCAAATTTTAGGCGTGCATAGTTACAGGGCGCCCAGTTGAAAATATCCTGCAGAACTGTTCAGGTGCTTCCCGAGCGTCTTCGTCTCAGTATCATACCTGCAGTGCATTGCTGGTGGGTCGAGACATTTTTCTTGTCTTGTTTGTGTGTTTTTTTCCGTCTATCGCCTCTGGGCTTTCGCCAGCTCGATGACAACGTATGTCTTCTTGGGCTCCGTTTTGGGGTCCAGATTTGGACCTAAAAGTGGAGCCAGCCATCGGAAAATTTTGCTGCCCGCGTAAGTGTCAACACATGCTTTTTCTCTCTGTGCATCCAAGCAGCAGTCCGACGGCATGGAGGGAGGCAGGAAATCCTACTTGCTTCACTCTGTAGGCAGCTGCTGTGACAAGTTCTCACGAGATCACAGAGTGCAGCTGCACGGGCAACATTCTCACAGATTCATGGATACAATCCAAAAGCCAACAAGACACTGTCTTGTCGCATCTGGTAAGTAGACGTTGAAAAGTGAAACGTGGTGTGAAAGTGGAGCTAAGGTGAAACGACAAAGAAACTAACGGATGGATTCCCTTCGAGGATCATCCGATAAAATTGGAACGATACAGAGAAGTGACAGCTCAACAGGACTGTGTATCGGTCCTCCACCAGTTTACTTTTGCGGCCACTACAGCAACGGCCTTTGCGTCACTTAATTAATCAATTAATCCCAATTGCAACATGCTCTTAAACATGTTGAACGACCTGGCGGAAGCCACGAAGGCGTCGGGCGGAAAAAAATGCGGAGTATAAGCTGTAGAGTGTGGAGTATGGAGTGTAAAGTGTAGAGTGGGGAGTGCGGAGTGTAAAGTGTGGAGTGTAAAGTGTGGAGTGAGCAGTGTAAAGTGGAAAGCGTGGAGTGTAAAGTGTAAAGTGTGAAGTGTAGAGTGTATAGTCTAGAGTGTAAAGCGTAGAGTGTGGAGTGTAAAGTGTGGAGTGCAAAGTGTGGGAGTGTGGAGTGTAAAGTGTGGAGCGTAAAGTATGGATGAGGAGTGTAAAGTGTGGAGCGTGGAGTGTAAAGTGTGGAGTGTGGAGTGGAAAGTGTGGAGTGTGAAGTGTGGACTGTGAAGTGTGGACTGTAAACTGTGGAGTGTGGAGTGAGGAGTGTAAAGTGTTGAGAGGAGTGTAAAGTGTGTTGAGCGAGGAGTGTAAAGTGTGGGTGAGGAGTGCAAAGTGTGGAGTGGGGAGCGAGGAGTGTAAAGTGTGGAGTTAGGAGTGTAAAGTGTGGAGCGAGGAGTGCAAAGTGTGGAGTGGGGAGTGTAAAGTGTGGAGTGTGGAGTTGAGGAGTGTAAAGTGTGGAGTGGAAAGTGTGGAGTGTGAAGTGTAAAGTGTGG